ACCCGTTCCCTGAGAGCAAGAACTCATCAGTTACAGTAAAAAGAACGAGAGGAGAGAGAGAGAGAGCGCAAAAATTATCAAAGACTTCAACTTCGATCTAATTGTCCTGGTAATGCTCATTTCTTAATTGCTTCTTTTTTCTGTTTTTCCTTATTTTTTGTTTGTGATCATGTTTTCATATTGTTGCATTCATTTCCCAATTTGCGATTTTTGTATTTTTTTTCCCTTTCTTTCTTTTGCGTATTGAAATGGCCCTAGGACTTGGTTCAGACTCTTGTATTTCAAAAAAAAATTTCTTACTTTTATTCTCAAAATTACATACATTGCTGTAGACACATGCACTAGCTCTGAATTAAAAAAAAAAAACATTGTCAGGAATCGTTTAGGTTGATTATCTTCTCTAGAGCTTCTATCGGTTAATGATTGAATCCATAGGTACAGAATTGGTTGTGATATTACCCATTTGAATGTAATTTTTTAATTGAATTCAACTGATTACTGAAACTGTGATTTTGAGTTCCGTTCCATAAATTTTCTTTCTTTGATACCACACAATCATTTTTACTTGTGATATAGTATCCCATGGAAGGGTCTATGTCTGTATGCATTCAGATAGATTAAGAAAGACGCATTCGGTGAATTCAACTGTCATTTTTCGTCTGAGCCCATGATTTTGAGTTGAATTCTATAATTTCCAACTTGTTTGTTTTCTTACAGTTTTTTCTATTTGTAGAAGTTGTACCAAGCTCTGAGCTTGTGTGCATTGAGATCAAATGATAAAGAATGTTTTAAAAACTGTGATTTTGAGTTGAATTCTATATTTCCCTATTCAATTATGATTACAATATTTTTCTTGTTGATCTTGTAGGGTATCCATCAAAGAAACCTATTCTTATGCGCATATAAAAACCAAATAACAGAGATGCATTCAGCGAACCACTGGGGTGGCTCATTTGAGATCCAAGTAGACCCAATCACAGAAGAAGGGCAGAGCCGAAACATGGAGGAGGACCGAGCAATGCTCCTCAGGCAGCAACTGGATGAGACTCAGCAGGGTTGGCTTCTAGGTCCTCAAGACAAAAAGAAGAAAGATAAATTTGTCGATTTGGGCTGTATCATTTGCAAGCGAAAGGTCTTTAAATGGGTGGTTTTGTCTCTATTAGCAGGATTTTTGCTTATTGGCATTCCGATAGTTATTGTTAGACATTTACCGAATCACACCGAGCCAATGCCACCTCCGGATGCGTACACGGTTGCACTGCACAAGGCTCTTCGATTCTTTAATGGACAAAAATGTGAGACTTTGCTTTTTTTTTAGTTGGTCAATTTGAGTTCTATGATCATTCTGCTGGTATTATGATCAGTTGATGAATCTTGAATAACTCAAAGAATGTGCCTATACAAACACTACTTGCACACGCGAGACCAAGCACAATAAATCTTTACATAGTAGCATAGAAATATCTGGCATAGACATGGCTCTATGATTTCTTGTGCCACATATTTAGGGATACGTCAAGTAATTGTTGTTAGCTGGTTAATTTAAACTTGAATGATCTTTTGAATCATAGTAAACTGGCGATTCAGTAAAAAGTGGCTCTTACTCGGTTCAGATGCAGGTGACTGTCAATACATCGGTTCATTTGAAGGCTGAGAACAGGAACTAAGATAATAATTATGGTTCATGCATTTGTAGTCATTATATGGATCTGGAACTATCTCTATCACATTAGTTTAACAAGAGAGTTGAGTCATTTCTCACAAAGCTAAGTAAGATGAGGATTTCACAGTTGAAACTAAGCATCAATTTAGTCATTCTCACACATAAAGTGGCTATTGAAGAACCATATTCATCATAGCAGCATTAATTCAGAGACATATGAGTAACACTAAAATAATCATATCTCGATTAGCCCATATGTTACAATAAAACTTACAATGTTATCAAATAACCGCAGTACTACTTCTTTTATGTATACAGTGTTTCATTTATTTCTTTGCCCGTTGTTGCTATAAGATGGATACCAACCACACCCTCCCCTAAGAGGGGACAATAGTAACAGCGAAGAAAAAATTAGAGCATATAATCTTCCATAATGCTTTTCACAATATTTATATCAATTAATGTGCTTCTGAGTTCTGATTTATGCAACATGGCTGGTCTCATTGGCACCATGATGTTTTCATGAATATGTTGACTTGGGGAAAATCATGGATCCTTTAACAATAAAATGCTGGAGTTCTGTATAGTCGCATAAGTTGGGTTGAGGCATTGCTCAGCTAGAAAGATTCTGAAATTTATCATATATCAACAAGCAATAGTTGTAGTTGTGTTATCCTCTTTATGGATTGTTCTAAGTTAGTCTTGCAATTAAATGAAGCTGATGTCATAATAGCATTATTTCAATTTGGTCCTTGAACTGAAGCAATCTTATGGGTACTGCAAAGTAAATTAGTACGTTATAGGCGATTGTATCTGGTGTCTAAATGGAATGTCGATCATTTGGTATAACTTGGTTCTTGTGAAACCACAAGCATTCTTGTAATTTATATATCCTTCGCTGAGACAGCTAGTTTGATAGTTGGTGTCAAACTATACTTTCAAGTCTACCTATGGGTTAAATGAATGCTTTGTATGACACAGTGCTCTTTATACTATGTACCTATACTATGTACCCCATATACACCTACCCTTCTAATGTGTAGAGCAATACCTTTCTCCTATGCCTCATTCATCCACTTCTTCCTTTTCTTGTTGTGGTGTATCAACTGGATGTAATAGACTCGCTTTGAACAACATGAGACATAGAGTTTGTCCTGGTGAAATTTATGGATCTCATTTATTCTTCCAACGGTTGCTGACATTTTTTCAAACGCTTGTCCTGATTTCCTCCAAATTGTTTCTCTACAATTTATGATTTTAGCCTTTTATCTATTTTTTGATCAGCCGGCCGCTTACCAAAGAGCAACGGTATCTCTTGGCGTGGAGACTCTGGCCTTCGTGATGGATCAAGACTGTCAGATGTCAAAGGAGGGCTAGTTGGTGGATATTATGATGCGGGAGATAACATAAAATTTCATTTCCCTATGGCATTTTCTATGACACTACTAAGCTGGTCGGTTATAGAATACGGTCACAAATACAAGGCTATTGGAGAATATGACCATATTCTGGATATTATCAAATGGGGCACAGATTATTTGCTTCGGACCTTTAATTCTTCTGCGACCACCATCAACAAAATCTACAGTCAGGTAAGAAATATAAATAAATCCTTATTGTATATTCCTATAGATTTCCTTGAAAAATATGCTATTCAATTCCATTTACAGGTACATAGTTTACATTAAAGGATATCTATTGCTTCTCCCTTGTGCAACTTCTTGCATTCTTTTGATACATAGTATCTGTATCTCTAGTATTTTGTCTCATAAGACAGGATCAATCCCTAATAGTGTGTCAAACAATTTCGTTTAAGAAATTATAACTTGTAGTCTGAGATCTGAAACAGGGTTAATCACCATAACATGTATCTTGCAAATAATCTAAGCTAGTCCCTTCTGATTGCAATGTTGATGAAGGTAATTGATAAAGCTTCATAATTGGCGGGAAAGTGTAGAGCTCTGAAATTTTTCTACAACACTTACAGAGTCATGAATCTAGTGTGCGATTTGATTGCTGGCATAGTTAGAGCAACAATCATGATTGGCATGAGTGCCATGACATTTCATCCTCCTGGGAGAAGCTCATAGTTGAAGATGATACTCGAATGTTGTCTCAATGTACAATCATCTTCCTTTTTGCATGAAAACATTGCCCTACACTAAAGTAGACAACCGTCTTGGAGAAGCGTGCAACCTTGATTCAGAAATCTAGATTAGTTCCCTTGGCTTCTAACCTATGTTAGCCGGGTACTTCTATCAGGAAGCCATACCCATACCCGACACGTACCCAACACTTATCCGTGCCTAAACATCATGGATACACTCCTTGGATATATGCATACATTTATTCAGACTTGTGCCAAATTATATGATATATGTTTTAATTTAAAACACTTGTCAAACACTTCTTGAATGTAAATCTTACACTTCACAATGCTCACATTAGACATAGTTCGGGTTCATTTCAGTCCATACCCAAGTTCAAAATTGTGATTTTAAAGGTTGTTTTGAGTGTCTAGCTCAAATCCGAGTAGCTTCCAATTTATAATAATCAACATAATAAAAGAAACTAAAAGACATATTAGGAATTCTAATACTAGTAACACATGTATTGAATAATAATAATAATCTCATGTAAATTATTAATCTCAATACACGTGTAACCGTGTCCCTGCACCCTACATTTTACAATTTTCCCGTGTCCCGTACCTGTACCTGCACCCGGACCTGCACTGGTACCTGTACCCATGTTCATGCAACTTAGAAGTCTTCTCCTTAGCTCTTATTACCTTATTTTCTCTGACTATCAAATTTCTTGGGGACTTTTCCCTGTTACTAAAAAAGTTCTGACCGAATAATCTAGTTCTAGATTGATTCATATAAAAATTGTCAAATGTGTGGCAGTAAACGTGTGAAATCATCTTCAATGGTTAATAAGCTCTACACTTTATATTCTTAAACAAATATTGCAAAGCTCATCTTATCTCATTTTATTTTGTTAGGTGGGATACGCAAGAAAAGGCTCAACCTCTCCAGATGACGAGCACTACTGCTGGCAAAGACCAGAAGACATAAACTATCACCGAGAAGTACTATTTTCAACATCCGCTCCTGATTTAGGATCCGAGGTAGCAGCAGCACTAGCTGCAGCTTCAATTGTATTCCATCACGAGAAGACTTACTCTAAAAAACTCGTCAAAGCAGCAACAACTGCCTTCAAATTTGCTACAGCTCCGTCACAAAGATCACCTTACTCATCTGGGAATGATTTAATAGCACCATTCTATAATTCCTCTGGATTCTGGGATGAGTTCATTTGGGGTGCTGCTTGGATGTACTATGCAACAGGAAACTATAGTTATATCTCATTTGCAACTAATCCGGAGTTGCCTAATAATGCCAATGCCTTTTCGAATAGTCTCGATTTGAGCGTGTTTAGTTGGGATAATAAGCTTCCAGCTGCTGAACTGCTCTTGTCAAGGTTTAGGATTTTCTTGAACCCTGGATATCCTTATGAGGACATACTTAAAAGATATCATGCTACTTCTGATCAGAATATGTGTTTTCTTCTTAAGCAGTTTCAGTTCTTCAAATGGACTAAAGGTAAGAAATTGTCTAAGTTTAATTGATTTCATATTGGTTTCTTGAAAGAAAACATTGTAGACTTCTTAAGATAAGTTAAATTTGAAGTGCAAACAAAGAATAGATGACAAAAGAAGTAAACACCAAAAATGAACTTCAATATCAGCTGGTCTGGCTGAGCACTGAGATTTACCCAAAGTTTTGGTGAAACCTAGGATTGAGTAGAAAACCAAAAATATAAAAATAAATCTTTTTTTTACATATGCAACTTTCTTGACATTTTATCCCGCTTGAAGTTTGTACCGGAAAGATCTATATAGTTGTTACTGTTGCTGATAGTGTTAACAATATTAACAAAGATGCATGCAAACTGATACTACGAGAGAGGATATAAGCAATAAACAAATCTTTATTTTTAGATCATGATTAAGAGGCATACATTTCTCAATTAGATTATGAGTAATTCATTTGAGTTCAAAAACGATGGCATTAAATCTGATTTGTTTAATACCTTATGATCAAATATTCCATAGTCAATCATAATGCAAACGAAAAGGTGGAGAAATTTCATTACGGTTGATTATTTCAGAGGGAAGTCTTCAAATTTACATGAAGTGCCATTCAGATATGACCCCTGCTGCATGAGATTAAGAAAACTGAAACTAGAATTATAAAAAATCTGTGAGAATAATGATTAGAACAATTTGTTAATATCAGTGTACTAATAAATTTCCCCACAATATAATTTGGATAGATTTTTATTGGGATCGATTAAACTTTATTAAAGGACTTTTACTGCTAGACTATATGTTTCAACAAAGATAGTTAATAATAAAATTTCTCATTTTCATAACTTATTTCATGGGTGATGATTTAGGTGGATTGATTCTGTTAAATCATGGGCGACCTCAACCATTACAATATGCAGTGAAAGCAGCATTTCTTGCATCCTTGTACGCAGACTACATGAACGAAAGTAACATCCCGGGTTGGTACTGTGGATCCAAGTTCATCTCCTCAAGCGCCCTTACGCATTTCGCCACCTCGCAGGTTCTTTCTTAAGCCTTACAAATCCCAACATATTGTCCATTTCATATTTTGCTAATCTCACATATCTCTCAACCTCCTAGGTTAACTATATCTTGGGTAAAAACCCGAAAAATATGAGTTATGTCGTCGGATACGGGCATAAATATCCAAGACATGTGCACCATCGTGCAGCATCAATCCCTCACAATCATAAGAGGTATACATGCACAGGAGGGTGGAAATGGCGAGATGCGAAACCAGGAAACCCTAATACCATTACCGGAGCAATGGTTGGTGGGCCTGATAGGTTTGATCACTTTTTGGATGTACGAAAGAATCATAATTATAGCGAACCAACTTTGGTTGCAAATGCAGGCCTTGTTGCTGCGCTTGTTGCTCTGACAGGCAGTGGGGGGCAAGGGATTGACAGGAATACTATGTTTTCAACTGTGCAAGCTCTTTTCCCGCCTCCACATCCTCCTCCATCATCATGGATCCATCCATGATGCTGTAGCAACGAATTTATAACATATTTTTGGCAGAAATTCTTTTTTTTTTCATGCTATAAATATAGATACAAATGTCTCTGATAGTAAAGGAAGAGTACCATAAATTCGAGCAAACTTTTCTATTATACAAAACAACTTATATGGAAATATTATGTGTCACTTCTGTGTAACCAGTTTTGGTTGTTAAATCTACTGATATACTTTGTATTTTTGTTTAGAGTATGCTTTTTTATTTTGGCTTTACACTAATGTTTTCAATTGTTCAATTTCATTCTAGCTTTTAGGATTTTCAGACTAAGGATTATATAACAAATATTGAGTTTCTTTATCGTCACATTTTGAACAATAATAGTGAAGTATTTGATCTCTTTATTCCATCTTCCTTTAACTGGCAACCGCAAAATAGACGTATATGTTATTAGGCAATAAAAATGCTTTACAAGGTGCATTCAAGTTATAAATTGAAAGGCGACTTTAGAAGTAAGTTCTTTGTTAAACAAACATATTTTACATTAATTTTCTTTTGAGATATTTGTTATCCTTTATTGTCTGCATTCTGTTAAGAAAGCGTTACCAAGAAGCAAAAATTAACTTATAGAAACTTTATTTCAATAGAAAATACATACAATAAACTAATACATATTACGGAATAACTTATTATTTAGTGTTTACTGTAAGTTATCCATATACTGGGTCACAGAGTTTATAGAAACAAACATACAGGTCTGGAGATTTACAACCACATTACTGCGTATCAAATGGAAGCCTAATATAATCAAAGCTAATAACAAATATGCGGATGTCCATTGGGCCAAGCTCCACAATTAACTTGGAAGGATCAAGAGGTGCACCTCTAACAATGGTTTCTGCATTTTCAGAGCCTTCCACCTTTCATTTCTTTTCCATCTCGGCTCTCTCTTGGTTAGCCGACAAATTCATTTCGGTTATCTTGCTGATCTGAAATATTAGAAATTAACAAGAATAGCCTAACAAGAAAAGCACTGCAAATAAAAAAGGGTTTACTTGCCAGTTATACCTCCTAAATATTTTATCGGTATACTTACACCTCTTGAACTCAGGGCATCTTGAATTAGTTGAGAGCATAAAGCCAACTATTTTAGCATGAAACCAACATCTTATATAGATTTGGGGTATAAGTGACTAGACATCATTGGGGCAGGGGTGTATCTACAATTTTCCATAAAGAAGAAAAAAGAAAACCCAACTGTTTTACCTGTTTGCCAGGGAAAACCTTTTGTAAGTTCTGCGCTAGCCATTGTTGAGATATCCTTTCCTCCCCATCCTTCAAATTTAGAAAGCAAAATTAATTAGGAAATAGAGAAATATAAGAATGATGAAAAGAATAGGGTTGAATGAATTCCCATGTTCCTTGTGTATCCATCATATTCGGTGTAGGGCAATTGTGATTGTGGATACTACCCAATTTACAGAGCAGAGAAGAAAGAGGTA